ACCTTTCACTATTTTATAATTAAATCAAGGAGTAATATGGTTGTAATCTGGCATTTCAGAACCCAATAAAAAAAAAAAAAGAGAAGAAATGTATGGCATCTCCCTTATACAAGTAAAATTAGTGAAGGAAACCCCAAGGGCTAGGTCAAGTGGTAATAGGGACGAGTTGTAAATCTATACGTCCCGAGTTTGAATTTTGACAAATATTTGAGATTAAACCATGAAAATTTATTTCTCATGAATACCCTAATCCCAGCGTGAATGACCTACCTTTGACTAGACCAAAGAGATGATTAGTCGAAGTGCACGTAAACTGACTCAGACACCCCTGACTATTAAACCAAAAAATAAAATGTCTAATACCCAAAAGTTGGTGAACGTTCTTACAAGATAAACCTTTAATGGATAATCATGCATGTCAAATTTGATTTGGAGAATTGGGTTCATTGAGTTGTGAATTTTGATATGACATTCATAAACTCCTAATTTGAAAATTTTCTTATTTTTTTTGTTTGATTTTGTATGTACAACAATAGATCTAAGCTATTAATCTTTTCTAATTGGCAAGAGAAGAAAAAAGAGAGATTCTATTAGACCTAATAATCTAATCTGACGTAATTCATTAGTTTCATTGGATTGAATGTGAATCATATCTAAGAGGGTGACCTATTGTTCGTGCATATAATCAAAATAATACGTTAATTTAACAAATTATATTAAATTATTAGGAACAAATTCTATTATAGGAGTGAGTCTACCTCTTCTTTTTTTTTGGGTAAAAGGGCCATAAAAAAGCATTAAGTAATACACATCAGTCTTGGGTAACAGACACACATAGCATCCGCATTAAGTTGTTCTTCAACACCGTCAATAGCATTAACAAAAACATGGCATCCTTCTCTAGACTGAACACCCATCTTTGCAAGCAAATCAGCACTCCTATTAGTTTCCCTTATTTCCTGATTCAAATTGGTCTCTTGGAATTGTCTTAGCAGCCACCAGCAGTCATTAATTAAAGGGCTATAAATGTGATGTTGTGTATCTTAATTTTACACCAGCTCAAGGACCAGTCTAGTATCCACACTCACTTCTGGCTTTTGTATTCCATCCTGTATTGCAGTACTTAGCCCCCTTCTTAAAGCCCACAATTCAACAGCCAAGCTCGTAGTTATCTCAATTTTCTCGTAAAAACCCACCACCAGCCTTCCTGTGTTATTACGGATAACTCCTGCCCCAGCAGGTCCCGGGTTTCCTTGGGCTACACCATCCGTGTTCAATTTAACCCAACTAGCTGACGGGGGCTTCCAACCAAGCAATGCTTCAGATCTTAAGGGTCTGGTGTTATGACTGTAGAGGTGATAATATTCAGCCGCTCTACCTAAGGATTGTTGAGTGATTTTCCCTGTAGGTGTTGTTTTATTGTAAAACACCCACTGGTTTCGATGCTACCATATACCGGCACTAGTGTAAAGGAAAAGAGTTGTCCATTAATATTTAGATTTCCCATTTACTTTCATCCATGTTCCCAGTGACTCATCGAAGGTATGGAGGAGAGTAGCTGGGAACCCCAGTTTAATCCAAATCCCTTTGGCAAGGTCACATTTCATCAGAACATGGCTGGTGTCCTCTATTTCTTGTTGGCAAATTGGGCACGTCTGGTCCTTTACAACTTTACAGGTATACATCACACTTTTGGTTGCTGGCCTGTTTTGACAAGCTATCCACAAAAAGTGTCGTATCCTTGGGCCCGTTAATGTTTTCCAAATCCAACTCCATTGTGCCACAGTTTTAAACTCACTTGGATTATCTTGTGCTAGCACATATGCTGACTTAGATTCAAAAATCCCTAAGGCCATAGGTCCCCATGCCCATGTATCCTGCCCCTCAAGGTGAATCTGGATAGGTGTGGCTTTAATTATTTCAATTATTTCGTTTGGTATAGGATATGTCATACTCTCAAAATCCCATCCCCCTCCCTGATTAAGCTTATGTCTTATATTTTAACACTCTTCTCCCCTTGGAAGTGGCCCCTGAAGCATTCTCCTAAGACTACCCCATTCCAACCAATTATCAAACCAGAAACTTGTCGTTTGACCATTGCGGACATTCCATTGAATTCCATCATAGAGGAGATTCCTCCCCTCTTTCAAGCTTGACCAGACATAAGAATGGGTCTTCCTTTTTTCATTTCCCTCCATATCTAGGTATTTAGCTTCACGGGTCCTAGTCTACAATTTATCTCTATCTTTTAGAAGTCTCCAATTGAGTTTGGCCATGGCTACCTTGTTCCTCAACCCCACTTGTTTGAGTCCCAATCCCCCTGATTTTTTGGGTTTAGTCACCTGTCCCCAATTAACAAGAGGCATTTTCCTTCTTTCATCAGTTGACCCCCACAGAAAGTTACTATTCATTTTACTAAGCTCCTCACACTTTTTTTTGGAATTTTCATGGTTTGCATATAGTATTGTGGAATGGCAGAAGTCACAGAGTTAATCAAGGTTGCCCTTCCTGGAAGTGAAAGAAGTTTGGCTTTCCACCCACTCAGTTTGTTCCTAACTTTTTCAATAAGGAATTGGAAGTTTCTGGATGTGGGTTTTTTATGGAGCAGGGGTACACCTAGATACTTTCCTAGGTCATTTGTAGCAGGAATCCCTAAGATCTCAGTCCATCTTTGGACATCCTCTGGACCACAATTAGGTGAGAAATACACTCTAGACTTTTGGTCACTTATGCTTTGCCCTGATCTTCTACAAAATGCCTCAAGTGTCTCTTTAATACATTGGTAGTTCTCATCAGATGTCTCTCCAAACAAGAGGAGGTCATCTGCAAACATCACATATGAAATTTTGACTCCCCCTCTACCTACTTGAAAGGGTTTCCAGAGACCCTCTTCCATAACCCTTTCAATCGAGTAAGATAGAATGTTCATGCACAAATTTAACAGGTAGGGAGACAAGGGGTCACCTTGTCTTACCCCTCTTTGAGCTTTAGTCCACTCGATAGGGCTTCCATTCAAAAGCACAGCAAACTGTGTTGATCTAACACATGCCATGATGATATTCCTAATTTTTTGGGGACAGTTGACTTCTTCTGAGACTTTTTCAAGGAAACTCCATTGCAGTTTGCCATAGGCTTTTTCAAGATCAATTTTAATGGCCATACTACCATTTTTACCTTTCTTTTTGGTCATGGTGTGGAAAATTTCCTGTGCAATGATTATATTATCAATTGCTTGCCTCCCCAGAACAAAACTGGCTTGCAATAGATGAATTAGCCCACTCAGTAAGGGCCTCAATCTATTGACAAGAATTTTGACCAATACTTTGTAAGCTGTGTTACATAGACTGATGGATCTATACTGTTTCAGGCTCTGTGGATTCTGGATCTTTGGGATGAGACACACAAGGGTTTTGGTAATATCAACATTGATTGACTCTGTTTCAAAAACTTGCTCAGTGAGCCTTTTGACTCCTTGTCCTACTATACTCCACTGTTTCTGGTAGAAAACAACATGAAACCCATCCGGCCCAGGGGCCTTCCTGGGTTTCAAGTGCCATACAACATTTTTAATCTCAGTCATCTCAGGAGTTCTTATGAGGTTGCCTATGTCATTTTCATTAATGAAATTTATCACAGGCCAAAAAAAATCATCTTGAATTTCCCTATGCTCATTCTGTGGTGCAAAAATATTCCTAAAATTTTCAGTCACCATCCTCCTAATATCCCACTGTTCTGTTCTGTGACCAATTCACCCATTCCATTCATTAGTGCTAAAATTTTATTCTTCCTTCTTGCTAATGTAGATGTATGGAAAAATTGAGTGTTTCTATCTCCTGCTTCTAGCCATTCCACTCTTGATTTGAGTGCCCAGAATTCCTCCTCCAGCCTTAAAATTCTGTGATACTCTCTCCATAGATTACACTCAAGGTCCATCAAAAAGGGATTAGGGCTCAAATAGATTTGTTTTTGTTTTCCTGATAGCCTGGCCAAGACACTTCTCTTTCTTTTAAAAATATTTCCAAAATCATTTTTATTACACTCCTTCAAGACCTTAGCAAGTTTCCCTAATGATTTGTGTACGGATTCCCCATTTTGCCAACAATTTTGGATCAGACCATCTAAGTCCTTGGGACCAAGCCAAATGGTTTCGAACCAAAAGGGTTTCTCCTGTATTTGGTGTTGGTTTTCAATGTTTAATAGCAGTGGGCAGTGATAAGAGTCAGCGGTGGGTAAATGGGTTACTGTGGTGTTTGGGTAGATGTCCAACCATTCTGGATTACACCACGCCTAATCAATTCTTTGCATTACCAATCCATTAGGCCCCCTAGTATTGGTCCAAGTGAACCTCGGTCCCAAAAAGCCTAGGTCCATCATATTGCAATGATCCATACATTCTTTATACAAGCTTTCTTATGATTAACAGGTAATCCTCCCATCTTACCATTGGATTCAAGAATCTCGTTAAAGTCCCCAATAACAAGCCATGGGAGTGACTTTGCTTATATAGTTTTAAGGTTTTCCCACAAAATTTTCCTGCATTCCAGAATAGGACTAGCATAAATAGCAGAAATAATACAGGGAGGAAAGGAAGTCACCTCAAAGCAGGCATGAATCTCCTGCTCCGTCTTCTAAAGTATAGTCAGCTGTACCTCCTGTGTATTCCACAGCATCCAGATTCCCCCCATGTAGCCAATTGGATTAACCCTATAAACACCATCCAGTTGGAATGATATGCTGATATCAGCTGCTCTCACACCTTCTACCCCTTGTTTCGGACAAATTCACCATAGTTGGATGGTGGGTTCTGATCATGTCCATAAGTGTTCCTTTAAACCCCATATGCTGGGCACCATGACAATTCCAATAAAGGACTTTCATTTCAGACATCGCATGGGTTTGGCCTATCCTGGGCCTCACTTGCTTTGCCCTATCTGATTTCAGTGTTGTCTCCCTCTCGGTTGGATCTATTTCCCCCTTCTTCTTTGAGTTCTAATTGGAGCCTATTTCCAATTTGTACACCCTCTCCAGACCCCCACATCAGAGATCCCTTGACGAGTACGCACATTTTTTGAAGTCCCATTGGACTGTAAACCAAGAGTACTTTGTCTACGTGCCCTAGTATCTTGCTTTCTATTAGAGAGTCTCCTAGCTGGACTGCCTCTGTTAATCTTCCCAACTTTTCTACCTCTTTCTTTATCACTTGATCCACTTCCTAGTTGAGAGGTCCAAGATTCCATTCCCCTGTCTACTGTTGTCCCCTCGAGATCCATCTCCTTGCTTTGTCCATCCAGTCCTTGTTTAGTTCCAGTATCTCTTCCTAAGCCCTCCTTGTTTCTGGGTCGTACCAACCCCACAGGTGGTTGGGATCCTAGATCAACGATCTGATCGTGCCTTGGTCCATTTGTATCTCCTGGTTCCTGATCTTGAGTATCCATGGGAATGGTGCCTCTAATGGATTCATAATCTGGGGGAAACCTGAAGAGTGGCGTTTTCCATCATTCCTTTCTTTCTCCTTCTCAACTGATTGTTGTGAGCTTATCTCTTCCTCGGGATTTCTTACCACCTGTTCTGCTTCCATCATATCCATTCCTGATCCTTTGGTTTTTTCCTTCATTACTTCTGTTACCTTTTCCTCTGAGTTTGATTTGACCTTTCGTTGGTTTCCATTCCTGTTCCTTTAACTGGTTCCTTGTTTTTTGAGAGACTTTCTAGTTCCTCAATTTTCTTATTTTGCTCCATCCCAACCAGTACTTTGGCCACCTCTGTTTTACCATTCTTTTTCTCCCTCGCAAGTCGTGTCTTCCGTTGGTTCTCACGAACTGCTCTTCTACCGAGGAGAGACAGATATTTTGTATCTGTTTTGTCTGATAAACCGCCATTTGGCGTGACTGACTATTTTTCTTCTCATTATTGATTGGTCCTACATTTTCTTTGCCAATTGAGTTAACCACCTTGACCTTTTGGTTTGCCAGTTGTCTTGTCCCAATTGGTCCAAGTGGCATCCTTCTTTTACTGCCTTGCTTCTCATGGCTACCATCAGCCATCAGTGTTCTCTTCTCCGACGTAAGGTTCGCCAGCCGTACAATTACATTACTCTTATCCGATGCTCCCTGTACTCCTTTGTTTGGTAATCCTCTCCCCTTGTATTGTCTTGGGTACCTCACCAGCGTTCATTCCCAATACTACTCCCCATTTCCTTCCCCCGTTCTTCTCACCTCCTCACATTCGGTTGCTCTTTCAGCCATATTCTATTCTCCCCCAATCCCCTATTTAGCATTCTTTTTCTCTTGCAACTTATTCACCTCTCCATTTGGTATTGTAGGGTAGTAGGACATACAGTGACCTATCAACCCACAACTAAAACATAGATCCCCAATTCCTTCATACAACGCAACAAAACTTACTTTTCCAATCTTCATGCTAGAAACGAGAGGTCGATTAAGGTCTATCTGGACAGATTCTAGCAAACCTCCCCTTCTCTTCTTGGACATGTGTGTGTCTATCCTCAGCAATCTTCACAGCTTATTCCCCACCTTTTGGAGGATCAACAGGTCATAATATTCGACTGGAAGCTCGGGAATCCTTACCCATACCACTGTAGTGGTAACCGTTGCTTGGGACAATTTAAATTCAGCGTCCCATTTAAGCACTGAGAGAAACTGCCTGATAATGAATAATGGACCTTCGTGTAGAGCCTTCACATAATCTCCCCCTGCTGCAAACTTAACCATATAATAGTCAAGTCCCAAATCCCGGACATCTTAGCTTTAGCCGGGTTCAGAATGCTCTTGCATCTGGATGAAAACTGGAAAAAACTCCATCGCTTTCCCAAACGATTTAACTATGACTGCTCTATACCATGGTGCCCTAATCCTTCTTTTCTCTTCTTTAGATAATCGAATGTGTACCCTTGCTGGCGTATCCTCCTCCTCCTCCTCGTTGTAATCTATCCTGTGGGATGGGTGAGCACTGAATATCTATAGGATGCCATTTTTCTGTTGGCCACTGCCTCTTGAAAACCCCCATTTCCCGGCCCACTGTGGTTGTTCCATCTTTTACCTTGTTGGTGCTTCGTTCCAAGTAGTCTTCCTCCTCACCTGTTCTCTCCGTTGAGCTTTCTGGTATGTCCACGTCCATCTGAATATTTCCTCTATAGGGGGTTAGTGAGATTTGCCTCCAAAGCTTATATGGGAACATGATTCCCGAATCACTTGAATAAATCAAATCCCTTTTATTCAATTTTTTTTCCCACAATTTTAATCACCCATTTTGAAAACATTAGACTCACTCACAAGTCCTACTTTTGGGGCCTAGCAGTATGGTTGGATAATTTAAATGGTAAAAATTATATTTTTTTTCAAATGGGGGGAAACTTCTTCCTTCTATTTATTCAAATCAAACTGCACTGTGGGCACCAGAAATTGATACACAGTAGTATTTGGTGCACTTGAAAGGAGGTATGACTACTGTACCAAAAAAAAAATGGTATTGTATACTAATAACCTCTTTAGGTATTTTACCAGCTTACTGATTTTTGAGGTGTGCATTTGTGTTTTTTGGATTTAGTTACCATTTTTTTTTGTATAAAACTTAACATCTTTTGGTTTTTTTCTTTCACTTTTTTGTAGTCAAAAAATATTTATTTTCGTCATAACTCTAGAACTGATAATTGAGTCGAGTTACTCGTGCTCGGACTTGGGTCAAGGTTAGCTCGTTTTGAGTTCAATTTACACTTTTTTTATTTTTTAAACGAGTTAAGATTGAATAATTTTTTAAATTCATTTAAAAAAATAATCCTAAAAAGTTCATTTATATAATAAAAATAGTCAAGTTATTTAAATTCGGCTCGTTTAAACTCGACTTATTTAAAAAGACAGACTCGACTTAAACTCGTAAAGTTCAGCTCAATTATCAACCTTACGTATCTCCATATTTCTTCCTAAAAATTTACAAAAGCCAAATAATCCCACTACAATTTGGGTTCTTCAATTATTCCATTAATTGCCTTGACGTATTTCTTAATTTGGAGTATTCAATGGAGCTTTAACCTTGTCCTTTCCTTAATATTCTTGCATGAAAACTCTCTTGCCTGTTTAAAGAAATACAACTCAACCCAACCCCTCCCCCAACAAAAAGAAAAGAAAAAATTATTCTATTTCATTCTTTAAACATTACAACTTTCAGTCTATTTGTAAGTGGCCCGTTAAGAGACAAGACCTTGGTGCACAAAAAAAAATTAATTAATTAATGGTATTATGAACGATACAAATTTAAATCATACATTTAAATCATAGAAATAGTCTCGATAAAAACCGTACACCTCACCCTCCCAAACGTGATGAGAGGCTAATGAATTGACCTTTTTTTTTTTTCAAGAAGTACATTCGGATCGTAGGGTATCTACAAAGTGAAGAAAAACAAAGAAAATCAATCAACTTTTTAAATCCAAAATCTCCATTCTGCAACAAGGGCAGCAAGCATTGTTCTCTAGCCATGGAACCAAACAACTTGAATGGAACCGATGAGAGCAGGGCAAACGCACCAGGGTCTCGCTCACCTTGAACTGCTCCAAGCACACTGCGCACTCCTCTTGGTCCAAGGCCTTCTTTTTCTGCCCAAACTTTGCCCAACTGAAACTCTTCAACCCTCTCTTCTTCACTCCAAACACCTCTATTTTCAAATCCCCTAGCACCATAGACCTGCCCTCCCCACCCCTTAATCTCTCTTGTCTGTTAGTCCTGAACTCAAATCATGACTGAAAATCAGTAATTATTAGTTTATTTTTTTTGAACTGGTAGTAAATATAAGATGATAAGATGATCAATTCCAGTGTTCATTATTTATATTCTCTCATAATTTAAAAAAAAAAATCAAGGAGGCCAATGGTAGGAAGGGTTTCTAAAATTAATGAAGACTGTTAACACGATTTGGTAATTGTTTTTCTTGACTGTTATAATCATAAACGGGTTTGATTTGTTTTACCCGTTTGAAAAATAGATTAACATAAATCTAGTTACCCGTTTGGGAGACAGATGCAAATTTTGATACGACAATTTATGCAACTTGTACATAACATATACGACATGATCCATTACCAACTCTACTAAATGCGTTTGGCAAAGCAACACAAAGGAGAAAAAAAATTCGCACCTACCTTTTGGTTTCTGATTTCCTTTGTTCTTTTAGCCTCTCATCTAACCTTTCTTTGGCTTCTCTAGCCACTTCTGCTAGTTTCTCATTCAGAGATTCCCGGTTCAGTGTGATTCTTTGCTGTTTGTAACATTCAAATAAATTTTAGTAACACACATTCACATATATGTAGATCTGTGAGAGAGAGAGAGAGAGAGATGTGGTTTGTTATATAATACCATGGAAGAAAATGAGGTGAGATGGAATTCATGGTTGGTTGTGTAAAAACAAAAAGATGACCGCCTTGAGGAGGCATGGGCTGCAGACGTAGTAGGAAAATCTGAAAAAGCACCGCTCTGATGAAATCGTCTTCTTCTAGCACATTCAACCCCCGCAAGCATGCCAGCCATTTTGACAAAGAAAAACTGTATTGGAATAGCTTCTATATATGATTCATCTGGTATAGTTCTTGCTTTTCTCATTCAAAGCTTGCCTGAGATAAAGAAAAAAAATCAAAATAATTGAAAAATACCTATATCAGCAGCATAAAGAACATGGGCTCTTCACAGAAGTTTCATGGAAAAATCAGAGAAATTTCCTGGAAAAAGTGATTGAATCCAATTGAACTATTAGAGAAAATTGAAGGGTGGGTAGTTACTACAGACATTGACGGCCATTTCTGATTGGTTATGCAGCTTTTTGCCATCACTTGCAGGCTTTCAACTTTGAAATTTCTCTCTGCTTTAATTATATAGTGGTTGATTGAAAGTAAGGTAAAGAGAATGAAAAAGGTAAGAAGGAGATGGGAAATTTCATGGAATTTGACTAGGGGACCGGTGGGTAAGAGTTGGGTGGGGAATAAATCCCAGAATTTTAGGGAGTGTTTCAATTGATTTTTTTAAATTCAAACTCCTGTCTATAAAGAAAAAATTTATCATTAAATCTAATTCATATTTATATTTGGTATGCAAAATATACATATATATGACTTATAAATATATCATAATTATTAACAACTATTTTCCTTATAAATATTATTTTTTCCTTAATCAATCAAATTTATACTTATGTTTAATATTCGGGCTAGCTACGAATCGAGTTTGAAAATTCATAATTGAATTTTTAATTCAAATATAAAATTTGAAGATTCTTTTAACTATTTTTTCCAAATTCTTCTTGTCAAGTGCCCATACCCCGTTACCAAACAATCCCTTGGGCCATGTTTGCTTCAATGTTTTGGATGGTAGAATGCTCTGAATAAAGTAGAAGCAATCCGGATCCAACTTTATATTTTGTTTATTTTGCTTTTATGGCTTGCTTTATAACGAGGTCGTTGAATATTGGGCCTAAGGTGAATACTTGCTCCTAACCCATCTACGTGGTGCTATTTAATACTACTGTATAAATGGTATAAAAATCTTGTGGGTTGTACAAGTTACTCAAAGATTAAAATGACTTTCTCAAACTTTTGTCATATATAAATGAAAGTGTAATATTATGTACACCAAAACTTGTATTAAATCACTTGCAGACATTAGATCTCATCAGTGATCCAATGACTGTAGTTGATTTAATGTAAATTTGGGTGCACAAATTGGATACACATAAAATTATCCTAAATGAAAAGACATCCTTATAAATGGACGCCATTAATGTGATTCTTTTTTGTAAACCTAAAAGCTATGTAAATAAAGAAGACCAAGGATAAAAAATGAAAAATCACTAATGCTTTCCGACACAACATGGGGGTGGACTGGATTGAAAATGATACTCCAATCCCATCCAACCTACTCCACAAAGCAAACATGCCCTTATGTTTATGTTGTTGTATATACTGTGTATGATCAGACTCATGTTATGTGTAATGGAGTTATTGTTGGGGAGGGGAGAGGGGGAGCCTTGAACCCTTGACCTCAAGAATACAAAATCTTTATAAGATAAGGAGTATTATTGGACATTCAATACAACCATTATATTAATTGTGAGTTTCAATGTTATATAGGTTCAACTTTAATCTAATGGTTCAATTAATTTAAATCTCAGATTAGATTCCCATTTTAAATCTAATAGTATTATTCAACTTTTATCACTCAACATGACATAATCATAATTATTTGGTATATAATATATGTAGTGTGATCTATTAATTAAAGGATAAAATTATGTGCATAAATTATTTGCAACCGTTGAATCAATAAATGAGACCCACTAATCTGACAATTATAAATGCCTTAGTACATATTATTGGTATTCATAAAATTATTTTTAATTAAATGGTCCACATTGAAATTCAAAAAGCTCGTTAATTAGGAATGTCAATTTTATCCGTTAACACGAATTCAATCCGACACAAAACTTAAAAATAACACGATTAGTTGACGCGAGTAATAAATAGGTCAAAATAAGGTTCAACCCCGAATAACATGATTAACGGGTACTGTAGATAGAAAATAATTATTTAACTAGTATTATAGATAGAAAATAAGATTTTTATAATTTTTTAAATAGAAGTATATGAGTTGTTATCGAATTAAATAATTTTTTATTAACATGAATATTGACACGAATTCAACACATACTGAATCTGACACGTCATGAAAATAACATGACCAAAAGGGACACGACACGATTGACACCCTATCGTTAATGCTTGAACCCACGTGCACACCAAGTGAGCCACGCAGCTCACCAAATCCTCATAATTTTTTCAAAAAAATTCAATTAGACTCTTTTTTATTTATAATATCTTCAAGGATATTCTTTTTGTTATTCAAAACATCATTGACATCCCTTACTATTAAACCATGATTTCTAACAAAAAAAATCATCTAAAATACAAAAATTGCCCCTATATAAGTGCCAAACAATCTTTCTATATAAAATTCAATTAAAATTTGAACTGATTATAATTTAATTTTTCTACATATTAAAATTCGAGTTTATTAAAATATATTTTTCTACATATTAAAATGTGAGTCAATTAAAATTTGATTTAAGTTGATTAAAAT